GTCCTGGGTCCGCCCTGCAGCCCCGCCCCCTAACCTAGGCCCCGCCCGGCGAGACACCGTCCTCCTCCCCCCTCCCCACCCAGTCTCTCTCCTGCGACCACCCTTCGGTGGGTCCCACGCATGTCTCGCCCCACCGGAACAGAAACAGGACACCCGAGGGCCACCCACGGCTACGTGGTCTCTCACCACGACAAGGACAACCGTCCGAGCAAAGCTTCCATTCCTTCCGAAAGTTGACTCGTCCTAACTACGATTCCTGCGACGATTTCTGGAAGCTGCGCTGGGGGTTGAAACTAACTGGTAGAGCAGACCCAAAGTGTGTAAGGGAGGGGATTTTACCCTGAGATGGGAATTCTACCAGTAATAGTCTTTCTGGGGTTCCATTTCCCCTCCACGCTGCTCCTTTTCTGACTTTCTCACAAACACTTTAAGCCGGATTGAAAAGGAAATATTCGGTAATGTAATTAAGGAGTCTAGGTACTTGGCGAGAAGACATTGATTGGGTGTCTTTCAAGCTGCTGTTCAGAATTGCTCTTGAAGAGGAAATTAAAGAGCATATGGAAAAGCTTCACCTACTGTTCAATAGTATTACTTTTGAAAATTACATTTCCTTTAGTGCCTAGCACTAACAGTTTCTTAACAGCTGTTCATTGACTGAAAAGATTGTTAGTGTATATTTCTGACTAAACTTTCCAATAAAGCTAAGCACAGAGCACCTGCATGATTGCGATGGAAAGGAGAGCTAAACACCTTACCGTAATGATTCCAGGAGTAAAGCCAAAAAAAAAAAAGTCGTCAGAAGCACACACTCTCTAAAGGGGTCTAGGCTTAAACAATAGACTGAGAAGCATGAAGAAATATTTGTGAACTATCATATCTGCTGATGAGAAACTATTTGAGAGTAGAAAAGATTGAGGCTGCCTAGTCCACTCTTAAACCTTAGCCAGAATAATTTCTCTATCCATGTCAGATGAACTGAAGACCACCAACTCAAGATGTCAGCAAGCTCTTACCCAAGCACTGCTGAAATGTTCCGCAGTATTTCCACTGTGGGTTCAGCTCCATCTGCCAGTGCTACATGGATCTTTGGTATCGAATATAGCCATAACTTAGGCTTGTTTTGTTCATTCAAAATGTGCAGTTCCTTTATACAACTTCTTTTCCATGTTATTACTTCCCAGCCATCCACCCCGTCATTTCCTTATCTACTATTGGGCCACTTATCATGTATACTGAGGGCTCCAGCATCAGTCTTGGACCTTTTCACTTCTAAGGTGCCCAGCACCCACATTCCAGACACATCGTCCCTTATGTAATTGCCCGCATTTCATAAAAATTCAGTGTAGGCACTGGTGCCAAAGATATAAGACCTAAGAAATACATGGGTGTATTTGTGAAAGTCTGATTTCACTGAAGATCAAATTTCTCAACAGAAATGAGACTAAGTTTAGCACCTGATTCATTCAACACTAGTAATTTTATTTCAAAATATAAATATTTTACATTTACAAAGAAATTACATCAGTAGGTTGTCAAAGTTAAAGCTAAGACAGCATTTGTGTGAGAATAAAGATGTATTGTCGTATTTGAATCTTTTTTACTTTCAAACCATCTCCACTTTGCCTGAGAATGCAGAGATGATACCTTCTCCAAAATTACATAAGCAATCACAACTTGGTTTCAATCTTGGTTTCAAAATCAAATGGTATTTGAAATACACTCCAAGTCCCCTAAGTGGCACTGCAAAGGACAAAAGAAGGGTTTTCTTTGGGATAGCTATAATAACAGTTCTACTTTCTGGGTCACTGCAATAAAAAAGAAATAGTGTTTGATAATAAGCCAAAATGATGTTACTTTAAGATCTGTTTCCATACCTTACACTGTAAAATATAAAGCTAAAAGAAAAATAAGAAACCAGGTGTAAATAACTCTGGACTTGGAGTCAGAAGTTCTGAAACTGAATTCTGGCTCCATCATTTTGTGGTATAAACATAAGGGAAAATCACACACAAAAATACCTTTCTGAGCCTCCAGTGCTTCATCTGATAACACTTAACATTTGCCTATCTCACAGGATTGTTATGAAAGCATTCTGAAAACTATAAAGTGCCACACAAAAGCATTATTAAAAATTAGTATCAATAAATCACCGCTGTCTGCACATTAATTGACCCTTGAAAAACTTGAAAACTAAACACAAATACTGATTTTACACACCATAGGTGGAAAATAACCTCTATACTTTACATATAGATCTGAATGGCAAATATGTCTTATTTCCAATATCTCAGTACACCTTGAGATTTATCAGGGTTATGTGGTACCATGGTAACACACGTACTATTCAGAATTTCCATTAAGGATGTCTTGTAAAAGACCTGTAAACTTACTCGAGAGCCATGTTTCCCAAAGGACCAGCAGTGCTTTGAGATGCTCTGAGAAAAGGATGGGGAAGTAGATTAAGATCCGATAAGTCTGAGTAAACACAGTCCCTGTCTCCTCTTAACCTTCAGAAAGAAAACAAACTCAGCATTCTTCGATTTTAATTGACCATGGAGTCCCTTCCCCGCCACACACACTTCTGTTCTTATAACACCTAATAACATCCCTTTGAACTACTGCTATAAGGAATACATTTTTCCAAAAGCTACTCAACTATGAGACAAAGGGAAGATGACAAGGGGCTGAGAGAAAAATAGAATTCTCTTCTGAATTCTATTACTAACTGCTGTGTTAGAAAAGCCACCAATGGATTTGTTTCTTTCTCCAGAAAATGACAGAATCACTTAATTATATAAGGCCCATTCTAGCATAGAATTTCTATGACTTGTAGACAGTTTAAAAATAATTAAGAGAATTGTAAATCAAGTATATCAAAAAATAACTGCTCGGTGGTTTGAGTATGTATATTTTTACAGGTCCTCAATAAGTTAAGGAAATGAATATATTTTGATGGCAAAATATGTAAAGGCAAGAAATTAATAAAAACAAAAGTACTTTTCTTAGCTGGAACTAGCATTTGGAAGTATGTTGTCACAGGCTATTTCCGTTGTGAAATGCCTGCTGTGATACTCTTGTATTGGTCCTGCAAGACAGAGGAGACTACAGGTCAAGGCCAGAGGATGGGAAGTTCTGAAGGTTTTTCCTATAAACCCGAGGCTGAAAGCTCTGGATAGCTCACCTAAAATTATTTTGCTCTAATCTAATCTAACCCCTCATGGCCTGAATTTCGAGTATTTCTTGCTCAGTAGTGACACATTCTGAAGTGATAAATACAACAAAAGTGAGAACTCAAGGTGCTAGGAAGTTCTGAAGGATCACAATGGGTTCATGTTGAAGACCAAGGTTAGCCAGAGGACCTCAGTCTGCAAGCTCTTTGGCAGCCTTTTTGAACTGGAACAAACAGCTGCTACTTCCAAAAGCTACTGATTTTTAAAAATACAATACCTCCATTTAATACTTCTTGGGTGAACCCTCCCACCGTCCATAGTCAATTGCCCAATTGCCCGTCTCAGAAGAGAACACTGCCAGCTGACCACTCTAATGGAAGAGGGTGTCAGGATTCCTTGCAAATTTAAGAATAAATAAGACTGGTTTCTAAGGAAGTCTGACAGAGATCACTTCCAGGAACAGAGAGTGTGATAGGAATTTTGGATCTGAAGCAGGACTTATATGACAGCTTATGTTGAACATCAGATGACTTGTTTTTGCTCAGAAAGAACAACTTCTGTGTGGAGGGCTTTTTTCTCCTCTTCCTCCATTCAGTTTACAACTGAATAGTTAATGTGAACTTAAAATTAATCTTTAATAAAGCTGTAAAATCCAAAACATTGTGACATGATTTCTGTACTGTTTTTACTAGTGACTTCAACTTCACCAATGCATTCTCTGTTCCTAGGGAAACTTCCTCCTTCTGGGTCGAATCCTAACTGAGAATCTAAGGGTTGGTTATCTTTGAGACTTGAGCTTCAGACTTCTACCTTTTCATATCACTTGAGCTCTATGCCCTGTAAAAATTCTGTAAATCTTCACCATAGATGAGAGGGCACGTTTTTGAGGGTTCGAGGAAGATCTCTCCCAGGTGGTTAGCTTTCCCAGTCCTTATGAAGTTGCTGGAGTACTGCGCCTGTTCAATTTTCCTGATCGGGACTGCGTAGCACTGTGGGGCACCTTTGCTCCTGCTATTTCAGGGTGATACTACATCACTGCTAATTTTGGCATCTTTAATCTATTCTCTTAGGGTTCAGCATTCTCTCCCCTCTAAGAACCTGGCATTCATACAAATAATTACGTCCAGCGACAGCCATACATTAGCTCAAGTTTAGTTTTTTGCAATATCATTTTATATAGCTAAAAGCACTTTGGAAGAACGTAATTTGTATATGTACCCTAATTCATTATGTATAATATTTGCCTCTTATGAATATGTGCTAATTACAGCTATAAACTTATCAATATATAATTAACCAAAAAAAAAAAGTCCTTTATTTCTTTAACCTTTTTAATGCAAAATTTTAAATTTTAGCAACACACATGATCTGGCTAAGCTTTAAGGTGAGAGAAGGCATTCTTATGAGTTAACTCCCATAGCACCTTGTATAGCTCCTGGCATGAAACCTAAGTTCCATGCAAACTCTCGACAAATGTTTTACTGAATGAATTATTAAACAACTGACTGAAGAAAAGAATGAGTTAATTAGTGGCCAAATGTAACACTGGGGGTTAAATCAAATTATAATCGTTGAAGGATTCCTGGCAAAAATAAGAGATCTGAATGTCATCTACTATATAGAGAGTCAAATACCCCATGGTAGTCTTTCTTCTAGATGGAGTTTTTCTTAAGTAATATCAGAATGAATTTAAGCTAATTATCACTAACTATCCTTCTTAGTGAGGTGTTTTAGAAAAAATGATTGCCACTTTTAAATGTCTTCCAAAAAAGGGATCTCTGATACTTAAGAATCCTTTCTACTCCATATTCCCCTGGGGGTGAAAAAAAAAGAGCCTGATGATTGTTTTTACACAGTGGAAAGGGCAGAGAGCTAACAGCTGAGTCTAGTCGCAGCCCTGTCATTAACTGTAGGACAAGTCCAAGGACAGGTATTCTATTTCATAGCACTAAGAAAATTGCATAAGATATTAGAAGAAACACTACTGTATATGGATAGCAGAACTTGCAGACTTATGGGGTCAGAAGATTTGAGGTCAATTCTTACTAAACTTTGACTTTGAGTTGTTCACTTTTCTGAACCTTAGCTTCTCCATCTGTATGAAACTTATAAAACAATATAAAGCTGGATGATCGATGACTGGAAGTGGTTGTGAAATAATATGCGCAAAAAGATTTGTAAAATGTAAAGCACTGTGGTTACTGTGATAGCTGACGTATTTTAAAAGTCACAATTTAATTCAACAAGCATCCATCGAGAATCTTATGTGCAAGGCACTGTGCTAAGTGGGGGGAAAATATTACATAAATATAAAATTCTACTGCCTATAAGTAACTTAAGTGGCAGAATTCCAAATGATAAACGGGGATACATTTAACAAATCAGTACTGCTGCACCTGAGATATTTCACTTAAAATATCTGGAAAGAATAAAAAAATTACAACATGAATTCCATACTGTTACCATTAATAGCAGCTTAATAAATATTGAACTTCGATGTGGTTGGCCAAGTTTTAGAAATTTGGCAACAGTGTAATAGGGGATGGAGGAAGAAAGGGGAGGAAGAGGTCCAGTCTGTGTCTCCTATGGTTGCAACATACAAGTAGATGAATTTCACTTAAGATTTGTTCTTTCTTAGGGAGGGCCACACAATGTGGGATAAGGGTAGAAAATTCATTTTTCCTGCTTAAGCAACTATATACTCAAAAGTGAAAGCGCTTTTCATTGAAAAGTGACTGTCATAGAAAAGTTTAAGAACAGATTTCTTAAAACCAGAAAAAATTATATTTTTAACAGCAGGTAGTTTAGGTCTCTTAAATTAACTTTATAAATACATATTATAATAATATAGATAAGCAAAGTGGGAAAATTTCAAACCATGGTTACCAGTGTATAAATGGAAAACTTTCAAGCCATCGTAGCAACAGTTAAGTGAGCAAACCACATTTCTGAGCTCAAAAGCTGTGCTTCACAGCAGACTATATAGCAAGCTTTCTCTTGTCCTCGCTTTCTGTATGGAAGATCAGGAGGCTTCTACTTCTTTTCCTGGGCTCTGCATGCTAGGCAGAGCTAAAAGGACAGAAGGCCACAGCTGAACTGAACTCAATTCAAGGTTGAATTTCCCAGAGAAATCACTGCAGAAATCACGTCAGTCTATTGAAGATTTCAGATCTTCGGAAATGTCACGGAAAGTCCTATAAGAAGAAAAGATAAAATGATTGGTTTTGTTTTTGGAAATAAGCGGGGAGGGAGAGGGTGAAATATGACCACAGAGATACGAAAGAGTATCTAACCAGTAATTAATTGCTATAGAATATCTTATTTTTATAATCTGAGAGCCTTGATGAAGTTATGTACTCATTATTTTTCTTAATATTTTCACTGCTAGCTGTTTCACATTCTTTAGTAACAAGAACTCCATTTTTTTGCTGAGTCCACTGTCTCCCATCCAAAAGACTTTGCCCAGACTCCCTTGAAACTGATGACCATGTGACTAAGTTCTAGCCAATGAGATATAAGTGGAAGTTTTGTGTGACTTCTGGACAGTGTCCTAAAAAGAGAAGGGCGATCTTCGACCTTTCCCGCTTCTTGCTGGCTAGAAAGTGAACACGACGATGTTAAAAAGAAAAACATCAGGAGACCAAAGATCAAATGCTAAGTGGAAATGTTTTATTACAAAACAGGAAACCTTACCCAGCAGAGTCCAAGCTCTGAGAGATGTGGTTCAGAGCAGGAGAAATGGGGTTAGGTTTTTCCATCAAATGACCTGGTACTGTTTTGTGTCTGATCCACATCGGGCATGCTGAGTGAATGTTGCTAACTGGCAAGTAATATCTGGGCTGGAGAGAGGTGGTGTGATGTAGCTATGAGGTGTCGACCTCAGGACTGTAGTTGCTAGTTTGCCTTTACTACGTAATTTAAATGTCCAAGCTAGGATTATGTCACATGGTCAGATCTGCATATGTGTTGGCAGCCAAATGGCCAAGTCAGAGTTTATCAATGAACATGAGCTCAAGCACTCATTTAGACAAAGAGACCTCATACAAAGGCTGGCAGGACATTAAGGAGGGAGGCCTGGCATGGATGTCTGTGGTACAGTCATCATAACCCTGGACTGCCCACCTCTGAAATGCTTTCGCCCAAAAGAGAAAATAACTTGTAGCTCCTTTAAGTCTCTGTTATTTTGAATTCTGTTGATGGTGGAGTTTTTGAGTTTGTTTGTTTTGGGTTATATACAGCCAAATCTATCTTAAAGGGTACAGGTACGAAACAGAAGGTCATTACCACTCTTTTAGATAAAAGTTTCCTTGCTACTTTACAATATCACCAATTAGGAACACAGAAAAACATCTGAGCTTAAAAAGCTTGTTTTCAAAAACAATTTAAAATCTTCGAGTTATACTTATTAATTTGTAGTCGCGTAACTATACCTTATTGTTCCTTCTTAGATTATTTATCAGTCAAACGAAGCCCACTTTATTTTCAGACCTATAACCAAGTATTAAAAAGATTACCTAACTTTTTCAAGAGAAATAGATCTAAGATAGAATATAAGTGTTCCAAAACTTTAGAATCACTCACAAACAAAAGATGACCAAAAGTTATCATTAAGTAGGTACAAATCATCTAAAACTTCATACATCAAATAATCCAAACTTCAGATGTGATTACACACCCATGCCACCTGTCTTATATCTTTTGTCTTCTCGATTTTCAGTTCATATAAAATTTATTAGGAGGGTTAGTCAGGCAGGGCAGAGGTAAATCAAAGACTAAGGCTTTCCTACAATGTTGCGAGTACTTCAATATCAAAGTGAGCACAAGTACAATGTTACAGAAAAGAAATTACCTTCAAGGATCTCAAGGCTCTTTCAATGGGTGGTACCCTAAGCCCCTACACCTCTAACTAGTACAGCTCTACCTTCAAAGAAATGGCTTTAATAAGGGATTGTAAACTGGCAAGGTCCTTGCTATCTGTGAGGTCAACCAAGGGTTGCCTTGCCTAAAAAAAAAAAACAAAAACAATAAAGAGAAAAAATACTTGCAGCCATATTCCATGAACCATGTATAAGAACAGAGATTACTCCATAAAAAATAAAAATAAAAATAAAAATAAAAAAATAAAAAATAAAAACACTTAAAACAAAACAAAACAAAAAACAGGAATGGCTTTGAGGAATAGGTTAAGCTTCCTGCATATGGCTCCCGTGGCTTTGGAAGAATTTGTGAGACATGGCAGAAATCACCATTGAATATATGCTGACAGGTCTAGGAACTGAGATAAATTGTTTCCTTAAATATTTTTATACTCTCAGAAAACTTCCTTCAAACTAAGATTTATAAACACATAGATTAATACATGTTCTATATGTAGGAATATCCATAGCTATATATCAAATCAGAGTTTCTCAATGGCAGCACTATTGACATTTTTGTGCATTATAAGTTCTTTAGCAAAATCCTTGCCTCTACCAACTGGAGTTGTGACGATCAAAATGTCTTTAGACATTGTCAAATGTACCGAGAGGAACAAAATCACACCCTCCCCCTAGAATCATTGCTCTAGATGTCTATTTATTTATATAACTGTTTTTTATACTCTCACCAAAATTTATGTTTTTACATTTGTGTATAGGCAAAGTTGGCTACAAACTATCTCAGATGACAGGAATTTCAAGTAGCACTCAATTTTGTGAAACCTTGGAAAATCTTTATACCGAACTGGCCATTAGTATAAAGTATTTTCAAACACCCAACAGGTTCTTAAATTCATCCTCTGATATCTTTTTTAATTTCTAAGATACTTACAAGTTCGATCTCTAACTATTCAATTCCTCTGTTTATATATAAATTATGAATGAAAAATTCTGCCTCAGGGCAAAGATGCATGAAATAAGATTAAAACTGTGGTTGGCCTGGTGATTGCCTTCTGTTGACAAGTAAGCTTAGCTGTAACCTTGAAATTCATAGTACTATTCAATTCTGACTCCAAGCCAAGAAAAGCCTCCAAATGACTCAGAAGAAAGAAAACAAAATTAAGTTAAGCTGAGAAAACAGTTATAAAAGAGTTTCCCAACTCAATACTGTATCTTCTTTAGGGATGTATGTGTGTAAAACCCTAAAGAAGTAACACTGGTCTTAAGTCAACCTCCAATTATCTCTTTAAAAACAAACCCCATAACACAGAGATACAGAAATGATTTAAAAAATTATTTTTAATTGAATTTATTTGAACTAAAACAAAAACAAAAACAGTTCACCCATTTCTCCCACCCCCCAGCCCTGGCAACCATCAATCTGTTCTCTGTATCTACGAGCTTAGTATATTTATTTTTTAGATTCCACATATAAGAGAGATCATAAGGAATCTGTTTTTCTCTAATTTCTTTCTGGCCTCATCAAGAGGCACAGCGCTAACTAATGAGCAGGGTTCATAAAACTGCAACTCTCTGGATTAGAAAGAAACTAAGAAATAAACACTACATTGACAGTATTTCTAAAAATAGTAAATGTCTTATCTCAGCCACCTAAATACAGTATTCTTTCCCAAGCCATAAGAATTATTACGTTCCTAAGAACCACAGTGGTGGAACAAGCAATGCAGAACAGGACCACTTGTGGCTGAGGGGACAGAGCACAGATGTTAACATTTTATAGTTCCTTTAATAGCAATGGGGATTAGGCAGTGTGCTTTCTCATTTATAATTCTTTGTTCCTTGAAAACGTTTGGGGATCTGCTTCCCCTAAAGTTTCAATGAGATTTTTATTCATTTAAATCTTGTCTGCTTTACAACTCAAGAGCTGCTGACTATCAGCCTCCTAGGGACACAGAATAAACTTTGAACATTTAAAAACAATAGCCTTAAGTGACTAATTTAACTTGCTTTAGTTGGTTTGGCATAGCTGAGTGTGTATTTCCTAAACTCTTACCAGCACACAGGTGCAAAACTTGCGACAGAGCATGTCATCACTATTATGCATATCCCTCCCCTTCCAACAAATCTGGGATAAAGTTCTAAGCCTGGAGTGTCAGGTAGCTAGTCAGACGAGAGCGACAGGGGGAACAAAGGCATAGGGGCCCAGCCTAGAGACGGCCCAAAGAATACCCAGTTGGTAGTTAGAGAATCTCTCCTGCATCCCCAGAGACAAAGGACAGGAGGGTCATAGTCTTAGCTGGCCTAACCTGGCTACAGATAGATAGATGCCTGTGCAGAAGGTACTACCCTAATTTGCTTACAATTTAAGCTTCATTATAATCCTATGTTTATGCCTAAAAGTTCAGGATTCTAATTATAACAGACAGTATTCTGAGTAAGCACATGTGTAGTAGGCAAAGAGTTTTATAACAGCCAGGTGTCAAATGACCTCACTTGCCAATCACCTAGGAATGCTTTTGGAACCACTCATCATGGTCCAAATATAGTAGACATTCCCACTTCTGGGTCCTCTTTCTGTGGTTCTTCTGTGGCCCCTTTGTGTTAGTTACAGCGCTGGGACCAGGTGCCTCCTTGGGGCATGCTTTGTCTTTCTCCATATGCCTTTTGGGGCATGCTTTGCCTAAAATATACTTTTAATAAATCTTTTCTAAATCTCAGTGACCTGTGATTCTTCACTGTGTCAACTGAGGAAGAACCAAGGAAAATGCTAACCACACTTCTACGCTGCCATTACCCGTCTCCCTTCCCTTGCCATTGGGGGGGCACTGAACTCTGACAGGCCTTGATGGTAACAGTTTACTATGTTCCATCTGTTTTTAACAACTTCAAGGTTATAGGGCAAAAGTCTTTTTATCAGAACTCTTGGTTTCACTAACCAATTAATTCATCAAGTTTTTACCGAGCACTTTCCATGTGCAAAATACCACGCTAGGAATGGTAAAACAGTAGTAAACAAGTCGGACATACTTCCTACCTTCAGAAAGCTTACCAACTAGTGGGAAAGACAATTAAGCACATATTTACATAATAAGTATTAAGTCCCAATAGAAGTACAACATGTTATGGGGACACATAGAAGGGACATCTTACCTAGAGAGTTCCAGCGCTGCTTTTCAGAAGAAAAGTACTTTAAGTATAAACCATGATACTGGATTTAGCTAGAAAAGAGGTGGTATTCATTACAAGGTGGAAAACATGTACAAAGATGACAGTGACTTTAGGGAACTAAAAGAAGTTCGATATGGCTAAAAAATATA